AGTGGTGACCTCTTTAGCGAGCGCAGGTCGCTCAGGCGAGAGCGGGCAGGGAGATACTACAACGCTGACAGGGGGAGAAAAAGAGAATCTGATACCCCCTATGCTCTTGGCAGGTCTGACCGTGACCGCCACAAGGTCGAAGAAAACGGCGCGAACCCTGGCAGACACCAAGTTAGAAATGGAAGTAATCAGTCAATGTGGATCTGGAGGACTTGAAGATTACAGGCCCTCGCGAATCAACATGGCCAAGTTGAAACTGGAAGGACAACTCGACGTGGTCGAGTACAGTCGAATAACCGTGCCGGAATCGGTCCACATGGGGGATCCGGCAGGGGGTTATGTGGAAATGTTGAAAGCGAGGAACTCCGCGAGAGGGCACCTGATGGCTTGGAACGAGAAGCCAGCCATGCAAGAATACTTGAAGGGGCTTACGGAGAACTCCAACTTCAATCGAAAAGAATATGGGACAGTAATGTCATCAGAAGCGAACGAAATTGGATTAGAAAAGTTGCTAGAGCTTTCTTGGAGGGCGGCTCTCCAGAAATACTTTGATGAGACGATGAATGCACCTGCGACTGTAGCAGCATACCTGGCTCATCCTTGCGTGAGAACTGATCTGCAAGTACGACTGGCTTGGTGCTTGATGGGCATCAAAAGGGCGGAGTATGAAGCCAGCAACGACTCGAAATCACGAGAACAGGAGCTAGAATTGATGGAAGCTTTACGGACATTGATCTCAAAAGACGATTCAGCGATAGCATGGGCTAAACGGAAGGATGCCCTTTGCTTTGTCAGGTTTGTGGTGGATCGCATCCCCACTCCTGTGTTGGGAGAATGTATAAAGATCATTCGGCAAAAGGGAGTTGATTGCGAAAGGAACTTCCTTAGGGCACTCCTAGAGCTATATCAGGACATGCCATTGACCGTGCCAAGCAAGGAGTCGAATGATATGGAAAGCTATCGCAAGTTGGAAGAGGTGAGAAGATACTCCAACAAAGAATTGAGAGTGAGCAGAGACTTGATTGAAGCGGCCAGAGGACAGAAGGAGTTTGCAACACTAGGGAAACTGAAGTCGTTCCAATACGTGTCTGGCATACTGGGGATGGCGTATAATCCCTTCGTGAACGAAGAAGCCAGGGAAGCATACTTCGACTACGAGCAAGTCACAGTGCTCAACTTCTGGGTTGAACGGATTAAGGAAATTGGAATGTTGATGGTGGAACAACCCAAGCTGGGAATTATTTTGGAGGAACGAGTAGTCGAACCCTCGATTCCCGAGCTAAAAGGGCAAGTGAGTTTTGATTGTGGTTCTTGGGACGGTCCCTTGAAAACCAGTCTAGTAGTGATGTGGGAACTCATGAAACCTTCCTGGTGTCCCCATCCTAACGCAGGCTTAATCTGGGACATGACCGCGGATATCATGTTAGACCGGGATGATGATGCGAGTCTACATGATCTGGCCATGATACAACACCTGCTGGCCATGAGATTGACGAAGAAGAAGAGCAACCAGTCCACGGAGCTGTCCGAGGAAGGTACATCGAGTAATTGGTTGAAGCAAGGCACATGCTTGGCTCAACACAGTGGGATGGAAGGACATGTTTGTAACATGGGACACTGCCTGATTACGCTGAGCGAGCAGCATCGACAACTGGCACGATTGTACGGAAGATTGAGCATGTCAGATAAGAGTGCCATGGAGTTGGTCGCAGACTGCCATGGGGTGACGGACGTAAACCTGATCACAGCCTTGGGATTTTGCAGCATGACGAGTTCGATAGAATCGCTCGAGCGCTTGGAGCGTGCCCATGAGCTAGTGACGTCCCTCAGCGTGGAAATATTCCCTGGAGCATTACAGACAGAGCAAAAGATTGGAGGCTGGCGAGAAGCCCTAGAAAATGAAATGAATCTGAGGGATAGTGAAGCCTATCACAGACCTACTGGTTCAAAATATATGGTGGGTTCAAGCTCTGCGCCATACTGCAATAGCAAGTATCCTACGCACATGGTGGTGATGGATGCGAGGACGCAACAGGTGTTGGTTGACCAGCTTTTCTCTGTGCCAAAATGCGTGAGGTTGGCCAGAATGTCAGAGAGGTCATATGACTTGTTGGCAAAGATCTTTCGGGCAGTCCCGAAGAGATCCGAAGGCGAGTTGCAAGACGTTGTGGGTGAAGAGTTCATGATGCTGAACGAAGGCAACGTGAGTGAGTTCCAGAAGCAGAAAGCGAGTGGAGCGTTACCCACTGAATTCCCCACCATAGAAGAGAAAGACGATCTACATAGAATCCTGATGGAAGTGGAACCGTTGCTGGGAGCCTCAGGGTATCGAACCCGAAGGAACATAGTGAGAACCCACGGGGAATATCCTTGCCACTGCTTAGCGCAGACGTTGTGGTACCCCAAACGAGGGAACCTGATCCTAATTTGGGACGTGGAGGAGTTGTACTCCACGGGGTTGCCCGATCAGAATCAACCAGTGTCAATCGTGGTGGTTAGCGCCATGCTAGCAGTGAGATGGTTGGAGGCTTATGCGGACACAGATGAGCAGGAGACGGCCGTGCCGACTCCTGAACAGCTGAGCAACGTGAAAATGAGTAGTGAATTGGATCTTTTCAGAACCACTTGCAAGGTTCTGAGAATACCTAAAGCCATTGAAAGAATATGGTCAAGGCAAAGATTGATGCCTTGGTTCCGTGCAGTGATGACATCTTGGATGTATGAACGCGCGAAGCGTCACATGTCAAGGAACACGGAAGCCTATCAATCTTTCCAGCTAGACATAGGACCAGGAGCCTATAAGAGAGCTTTCCTGACGCATAGAAACGCGGTCACCACTGCGGTGAAGCGAGTAGCTGGAGCGCCTTGTGTTACTGAAGATGAAAAGAAAGAGGTCTTAAGAGCTGACCTAGAACGAAACGTGAGCCTGTGTCTTCACAACAGCTTTTGCAGGAACCGGGAGCAGAAGGTGAATGTGGACTTACTACCTTGTTGCAAACCGAGGCTGTTGGAGCAGGAGGGTTGGGGCACGGCCCGCAACTCTCTGGACATGTTAGAGAAAGTTCTGGAAGACAGTGACGCTGAACATCAGGATGGAGAAATGATGGAGTGAAGATGACCAAAGAAGAGAAGAGAAGGAGAGAAAAACTTGATTGTATTTGTGTGCTAAAACTCAAACCAATCAACCAAGTTTTGATTATTGAACTGGTGAAACTTTTTGTTTTGATTTAGTTTGGTCAGACCAAACTTTGAAAATTGTTGCAATTGTTAAAATTGTTGATTTTGTTGATTTTAGTTACTACTATCTATGTATGTATATAAGGAGCATAGGTGAGTATATTTACCTATTTATTCCCGACTGAAGTTTTTAACCTGTGTAAGACACAAATTCACTGTGTGGCGACATGGTAAGTTTGAGTAAATTCGCTCGAGAAGGGTGGGTAACTCAAGAACTTTCCTAGCCACAGAGTTTCTTAGTTTTAATATTGAAAGGACCGCATAAATGACTAATTATACTTGGTGAGTGAAGTTAAGTTAATTTTAACGGGTGCGTGGCCGTGCCACGTCCCACTTTTTAATCAGAAGCGAAAAGAAGTTTTATGGCGAGATGACGTAAGTAGTCAGAAAAGAAATTTTATCTAGGACACTCCTCATGGTGCAAATTTTGTGAAAATGTTGAAAGGCAGTGAGATGTAGTACGATGCCATTTGTGAACACGTAGTGAGTTGAAGTGGAGTAGATAAATTTCATTTTCTTATGCGATTTGTAAGATTGGTTACAGAAAACTGGATACCTACTTGACGATAACCCGGTGTTGTGCGATCAATAGGGACATTGATGGAGACTTGTCCGGGGAGTATGTGCCATTCTGCCAGATGACACAGCATAACCTTCCCGCGACGGAAATAAAAGTGACTAAAGGCCTTACGAACAAAAAAATGTTGCGACGGAGGGTCAGAATGTTCTGGAATTTTTAATTTTAAAATTTCGATTTGAAGGAGAACATTTCTGAGAAATAGAAAAAAGACGGCCATTTTGAATAAAATAGAGAAAAATAAGGACGACGCCATATTTTGTGACGAACGGTTGTATCCGAGACGAGAAAATTACGGAGCCTCTTATCGTGGCAATAACACACGATAAGGACCTTAGTGACAGATATTTGTGGAGACGGAGGCTTCGGTGGGGGGAAGAGAAATACCACGGAACCCTCCCGGGACACGAAATATAGGAGATAAGAGTGTTATCTCAAGAAAATCACGGGAGCGGAGGCTTGGTCCCCCAGAGACTGTTATATGTGAAGGGACTGTGTAAACTAGCTATAACAGTTGCTGGAATGTCCTAGATATTAATTAAACACCGATATTATTTGATATTTCAGAGTATGAGTAGATAGAGAAAGGAAAAGGTCAATCCATCTCCAATGGATTTAATATAAAACTGTCACACAAAAACATGTAAAAATAGGTTGTTCGAGCCGTGTTTTTAATGACAATCACGTAGTCTGAGGATCCGAGACTCAGCTATGTGGTTGTGTTCGCATGCAAACGAAAGCTGATCAAAAGTCGTTTGACTGATGGCCTAAAAATAGTAACTTTTTACTTTGCCCTAGACAGACCAGAAAATCAACTGGCAAGGTCGAGACGGTGAAAAACGAGTGGAATTAAGGTAACTGACGCCTGCCAGTCGTCAATAGGTACTTTTTCTACGCTCCGTCGCTGTGTGATATTTGGGCGAATGTTACATGTAGAGGAGGGACGGTTGAAGTAAATACTTTTAATGGCAATGCATTAAATGCTGGTATGGGCCCTATCCAGCTTGTGCACGACCGTATCTAAACGGAGGGGCGCCTTTTAAAATTTACCTTTTTTTTATTCAATATGAACTGAACCTAAATTTAGAACTTCTAATTTTGAGATCAAAAAAATTTACGGGAAAAAAAGTCTAGTACCCGATTGCAATACCCTTGCTTATCGCAAGGGTAATCGTAAGACAATTACTTCTCAATTGATTGATTATGTCTCAGCAGTCTCCCGAGAACTTCAGCAGATCCTGATCTCAGATTGTTACCCTAGAAACAAAATGACATTTGCCGCAGTTTCAGTTAACCTTTCAGTTAGTGTTAAATGGTAACCTTCCTAGAGAAAATAAATTTGGACTACCAAATATCAAAAAACTAATACCTTTAAGAAAAGAGTCTTCACAGAAGAGTTCTCAATTAATCCATTCAGCAAATGCTTAGCTCCATCGTCTCCCAAAACACAATCCGCAAAATCGAGCAAAGCAACGAATGACGTTTTGGACAAAAGCAGGCCAAGCACAGAGCAAGTCTCGAGATTAAGTGAGCAACCCCGTAAACTCACAGACGACTTTTCTGAGTCACCGGAATTTTTCAGACTCGTGGTTACTGATTCTTGTGGGAGAATATCTATGTCCTCGCACAGTTTCAGATAAAAGGCATACAACGGCTCAGTTTTCATGCTTCTGAAAAATGGAACTTCACAGTTAACCACCAAGGCTCGGAAAGAATTCCGCGCACTATATATTAACATTCTCGAACAAAAATTCCGATTCAAAAATTGAACTGGTAGAAAATTGATTAAAAATTTCACACAAATTCATGTATTCTGACGGCCAAGAAAACACAGAAAAACACGGATAGCAGGTTGCTGGGCAAGAGTAATCAGAAGGTCAAAAGTATCATAGTAACCGAGGTTGCAGTCAGGAGTTCCTTCATCGCGTATTCCAGTCAAAATCCTTCGAATTTTGTAGATATGGAAGTGATAATGATAAAAGAAGATGACAAGTGTTGATGTCCTTACAATTAAAATCGATACGGGTTATGTTTCTTCAATAAAAACACGCAACTCGACACGAGAAAATATAATAATAAAGTGTGACAAAAAAAATTTAGTCGAAAATTATTTTGTCATTTATTGTTCCGAGTACGCAAGGGGCGTTCGCAATTAGTATTGCCATGGAGATTCTCTGAATTAAAAGCTGCCTGCTCTGGGTTCCGCAGTGCTTATGCTTAGGTTCTTACAAAGCTTGCTCAAAAAAATTTCCGTGCTGGGGCTGGCCGCGCCCTGAATCTCAAAAGCTAGCAGTTGAAAAAGATACCCATCATCTACTAGATCTTTATACTTGTCATTTTTTCGCTCTTCCGCTTCAGCGGCAGCTGTTCCAGGGTTACAAACAGACCCGGCAGCACTAGTCCCACTAGGAGCTAAGGAGTCTACAACCGTAACAACCCACAGGAGCTGCTTACCAACAGCCCATGGAACGAGCGTCAAACCGTCTGGTCGCTTCTGATCGGTCCTGCAGAGGTGTCGTGGTTCTAAAACAGACGGACTGTGAGTAGAAGATAAACTCTGCTTTAAAAGGGCATTGAGGTTTGAATGCCTAGAGAATCTCCCTGCACTTTTGATGCAAGAAAGACCTGTGACATTCGACCAGAATGGACGAAAATTCAGATTCGGCAATTTCGAATTATTAGCAGCTAACCTTCCGATTAAGCAGTTTTGAAGGATTAGCAGTGTTATTGGAACGATCAGTCAAACTGTGAAGGCTGGAATATTCTGGTATTTCAGATTTGTAAAATTTCGAAGTATGACGTCATATTTCTGAGAAACGTCAGAATCGGCCATTTTGGAAGAAAACCACAAAAAATCAGATCAACAATAGTTGCGATAGCGATAACTACGAGAATTGTGATAGAAAAACAACAACGAATTGCAGAGTCAGCAGAGACCGTTCCGAGTTGCAACGATTGTGTCGCTACAATCGTTGCAAGGCCGTTCACAACAACGGTGAAGGGTGGAAAAACTGCCTTCCGGAAGGAAGATAAGGGCGTTATTTCCCCGGATTCAAGAATCCGGAGGGGTCTCGGGACTGGAACTTATATGATTTTATACAGATTTTTAGCTTCCCTATTATGTCCTGAATTGAATTTATTTAACATCTGATTTCTTTTTACGACGATAAGAAGCTAGGAGTAGGGAAAAGGATTGATCCATCTTCGATGGAGATGATGATTTTTATCTACTGAACAAAAACAATAGTAATATAATAAGTAGTAGTAGCCCTGTTTTTAGATGTGACCTCGTGGTCTGGGAATAGTGAGACCCAGCCATGAGCTCACTAATTTTGCATGTAGTTAAGTTAATTTGAGTGTTTTGACCGAAGCCGAAAGCAGTAACGTTTCTGTCGACCCGATGTTAGAAAGACCACCAAAAGAACTGGCCTTGGTAGAGACGGTGAAAAGCATGTAGAGCTTATTTTAGAGGCTGGCCAGTGGTTTTTTTATTTTAGCTTTGTTTTCCGTCGATATGTACTTCCGGGCGAATGTTTCATAGATGTTTTTATGGCGCTCCTGGTTGTTATTCTTTTTTAACATTATGACCGACACAACCGTTAACGAGCACTCCGCGCCGAGCGAATGCTCATAATAACGCCCTAAATAGGCCCTAACCGCCGGGGAGGAGCGGTAGTTCGGAACGCGGAAGCCTTCCGGATTCCCGTGAATAGCTTTAGAACCTAGTCAAGTGTGCCAGTCGGTCATATCTGGAAGTTTGACCTTGAGGGACACAAAAATACGTAATTTTGGAAATTCCGATTCAAAAATTCCAAATTCCAAAAATTCCGATTCAAAAATTGAACTGGTAGAAAATTGATTAAAAATTTCACACAAATTCATGTATTCTGACGGCCAAGAAAACACAGAAAAACACGGATAGCAGGTTGCTGGGCAAGAGTAATCAGAAGGTCAAAAGTATCATAGTAACCGAGGTTGCAGTCAGGAGTTCCTTCATCGCGTATTCCAGTCAAAATCCTTCGAATTTTGTAGATATGGAAGTGATAATGATAAAAGAAGATGACAAGTGTTGATGTCCTTACAATTAAAATCGATACGGGTTATGTTTCTTCAATAAAAACACGCAACTCGACACGAGAAAATATAATAATAAAGTGTGACAAAAAAAATTTAGTCGAAAATTATTTTGTCATTTATTGTTCCGAGTACGCAAGGGGCGTTCGCAATTAGTATTGCCATGGAGATTCTCTGAATTAAAAGCTGCCTGCTCTGGGTTCCGCAGTGCTTATGCTTAGGTTCTTACAAAGCTTGCTCAAAAAAATTTCCGTGCTGGGGCTGGCCGCGCCCTGAATCTCAAAAGCTAGCAGTTGAAAAAGATACCCATCATCTACTAGATCTTTATACTTGTCATTTTTTCGCTCTTCCGCTTCAGCGGCAGCTGTTCCAGGGTTACAAACAGACCCGGCAGCACTAGTCCCACTAGGAGCTAAGGAGTCTACAACCGTAACAACCCACAGGAGCTGCTTACCAACAGCCCATGGAACGAGCGTCAAACCGTCTGGTCGCTTCTGATCGGTCCTGCAGAGGTGTCGTGGTTCTAAAACAGACGGACTGTGAGTAGAAGATAAACTCTGCTTTAAAAGGGCATTGAGGTTTGAATGCCTAGAGAATCTCCCTGCACTTTTGATGCAAGAAAGACCTGTGACATTCGACCAGAATGGACGAAAATTCAGATTCGGCAATTTCGAATTATTAGCAGCTAACCTTCCGATTAAGCAGTTTTGAAGGATTAGCAGTGTTATTGGAACGATCAGTCAAACTGTGAAGGCTGGAATATTCTGGTATTTCAGATTTGTAAAATTTCGAAGTATGACGTCATATTTCTGAGAAACGTCAGAATCGGCCATTTTGGAAGAAAACCACAAAAAATCAGATCAACAATAGTTGCGATAGCGATAACTACGAGAATTGTGATAGAAAAACAACAACGAATTGCAGAGTCAGCAGAGACCGTTCCGAGTTGCAACGATTGTGTCGCTACAATCGTTGCAAGGCCGTTCACAACAACGGTGAAGGGTGGAAAAACTGCCTTCCGGAAGGAAGATAAGGGCGTTATTTCCCCGGATTCAAGAATCCGGAGGGGTCTCGGGACTGGAACTTATATGATTTTATACAGATTTTTAGCTTCCCTATTATGTCCTGAATTGAATTTATTTAACATCTGATTTCTTTTTACGACGATAAGAAGCTAGGAGTAGGGAAAAGGATTGATCCATCTTCGATGGAGATGATGATTTTTATCTACTGAACAAAAACAATAGTAATATAATAAGTAGTAGTAGCCCTGTTTTTAGATGTGACCTCGTGGTCTGGGAATAGTGAGACCCAGCCATGAGCTCACTAATTTTGCATGTAGTTAAGTTAATTTGAGTGTTTTGACCGAAGCCGAAAGCAGTAACGTTTCTGTCGACCCGATGTTAGAAAGACCACCAAAAGAACTGGCCTTGGTAGAGACGGTGAAAAGCATGTAGAGCTTATTTTAGAGGCTGGCCAGTGGTTTTTTTATTTTAGCTTTGTTTTCCGTCGATATGTACTTCCGGGCGAATGTTTCATAGATGTTTTTATGGCGCTCCTGGTTGTTATTCTTTTTTAACATTATGACCGACACAACCGTTAACGAGCACTCCGCGCCGAGCGAATGCTCATAATAACGCCCTAAATAGGCCCTAACCGCCGGGGAGGAGCGGTAGTTCGGAACGCGGAAGCCTTCCGGATTCCCGTGAATAGCTTTAGAACCTAGTCAAGTGTGCCAGTCGGTCATATCTGGAAGTTTGACCTTGAGGGACACAAAAATACGTAATTTTGGAGTGAAGTTTTAATTTTCAAAATTTCGAATGGAGCCTGTCATGCTCAGTTTTCTCGCACCAACTGAAAACACAAAGTGAAAAATCAGAACGACCGAATTTACAATTGCGGGAAAATACTTAAGAAAACAGCAGGAAATTGCTATTCGCAACTTCCAGATACAGAATAAGACACGAGTAGAGCTGTCTTATCCCGAAATAGGAGGAGAGATAAGAAAAAGAAGAGAGAACAACTATTCGAAACGAACCAGAGTGAACCTTCAATGGAAAGGTGGACAGCTTGAGTGTCCCAATGGTTCATACAAAAACTCCAATTCTAGAGTCAGAACTTACTTCTGTTATCAAAACTGATTAGTATTGAACTTATCTAGTTATATTATCTAATTCTCGAGTTGCTTATCATTTTAATTACTCCTTGTACTCGAGTGCATCAACATGTGAGTCCCTAATTTAATTTTCTCGAGTGTGTTTTATGATTGTTATGTTGAGATAAGGCGAGTTTTAGGTTGATCCATCTGAAATGGATCAAAGTTCCACTGTCCAATAAAAAGTAACTTAACGGATTGTTCCGACCATGTTTTTAACGGCGTTCGTGTATTTTGGGTATTTCGAGACCTAAGTATGGGGACGTTCTTATTTTCTAGAGTGGGGGGATATTTTGGTAGTAGCCTTTAAGCTGTAACGGGTTCTAGTCTCATGTCGCAAGCGAACCGAATTGGCTCCGACCGTTTTGAGGTAGAAAAACACAAGAGATAGTGTCCCTGACTCTTGAGCCAATGGTTATAGGGCCAATCTTCTTAAGCCTCAT